TAATTATACTTGTTACTATAATTTAAAGTTAACTAAATTTTTATTTAAAAAATAATTAATAATTAATAATAAAATAGATGGTAAATTATTAATATTTTTTTATACTTGTTACTATAATTTAAAGTCAACTAAAATTTTTATTTATAAAAAAATTAATAATATAATAGTTGGTAAGTTTTTGTTTATTGATTATCAATATTTAATTATATTTATTACTATAATTTAAAGTTAACTAAATTTTTATAATAATTTAGATTGTGAGATATTTTTATTAATTATTAATATTTAATTATACTTGTTACTATAATTTAAAGTTAACTAAATTTTTATTTAAAAAATAATTAATAATTAATAATAAAATAGGTGGTAAATTATTAATATTTTATTATACTTATTACTGTAATTTAAAGTTAACTAAATTTTTAATTTAAAAAATAAATTTTATTAGTATGTAAGTTATATTATTGATTATTAGTATTTAATTATTTTTTTACTGTAATTTAAAACAATTAAATTTTTTATTTATTTAAAATAATAAATTTATTAGAGGGTAAGTTACTTATTTTTATTAATAATTTATATATAATTTAAGTACAATTAAATTAATATTATATTTATCTAATATATTTATTTATTAAGTAAGTATTATACTTTTATTTTTTAAATAATAATTAATTAATAATTATAAAATTAATATTATAAAATTATTATTTAGAAAAAAGAAAATTGTTCAAATTGTAATAAAAAAAATACTGGATATAAATGGTGTAAAGAATGTTATTCTAATTTATTTCAGCAAAATTTTTCTAAATGGACTAGTAAAAATAAATTTATTGATGAATTTATACAAAATGTTCAAATAAATACTCAAAATAAAAGGCAATTATTAGAATGGATTCCTTATAATAAAATTAAAAATATTCAGTATTTTGATAAAGGAGGATTTAGTATTATATATACAGCAACTTGGACTGATAGATTTATTGAATCATATTCATATAATGATAATAATTGGATTAGAATTGGTAATATTGATGTAATTCTTAAAAATTTTAATAAATCATCAAATCTAAATGAGGAATTTTTAAATGAGGTATATTTAATAATTATATTTAATTTTAAATAAGTTTTAAATTAACTAAATTAATTTGTTTTATTTTAGTGGAAACATCATTATAATTGTTATAATCAATTAAAAAAATATTCAGATGAAAATCTTATTCAATTATATGGATTTACTCAAGATCCAAATACTTTAGATTATATAGTAATAATGAAATATGCAAAAAATAATAATTTAAGAAAAAATTTATTAAATATAGTTAAGGACAAATGGATTATTAAATTATTACAATTAGATAATATTATTAGTAGACTTGAAGAAATACATCAACAAAATCTTATTCATTGTAATTTTCATCATGGTAATATTTTAAATATTAGAGATAAGATTTTATCTATTAGTGATTTAGGATTATGTAAACCTGTAAATTATTTTCAAACATCTGAAAAAAATGATATTTATGGTGTTTTACCATTTGTAGCTCCTGAAGTTTTAGAAGGTCAACCTTATACTAAAGCTAGTGATATATATAGTTTTTCTATGATTATGTGGGAATTTACATCTGGAATTTGTCCATTTAACAATCAAGCTCATAATTTTCTACTTACTTTAAATATTTGTAAAGAAGGAAAACGTCCTAAAATTATTGAAAATGTTCCTAAATGTTATATAAATTTAATGAAAAAATGTTGGGATATGGATCCATTAAAACGACCAACTGCATCAAAAATTAAAGAGATTATTAATAATTGGATTAAGAATATTAAAAGTAAAGATTTTGATACAAAATTAAAAGATGATATTGTAGATTTTTATAAATCAGATAAAGCATTTAAACAAAATCAAAATGATAATTTAAGTATTATTAAAGATCATTCACAAGCATTTTATACAAGTCATTTACTTGATTATACTAAAAAGTCTGAAAAAGTTAAAAATATATATGCAATTTTAAGTCAAGAAAAATTTTTTTATAATTTTAAATACACAGATTTCAAAAATATACAAAAAATTGGAAGTGTATTTACGACGGTATATCGTGCTAAGAGGAAATATGGTGAAGGCTTTTTAGTGTTAAAATCATTCAATTTTATTGATAATAAAGCTTTTGATGAAATTATGAATATGGTAATATTTATAAATTTACTTAAAATTAATTAAAAATTTTATTAAAGAAATTTATAAAAATTATTAGCTAAAATTACAACGAATGATTAAATACCATCCAAATATTATACAATTTTATGGAATTACAAATATAAAGATTGGTGAGTATTACAAAATAAATTATTTTAATTATATTATTGTTAAATTTAACAATAAATTTTAAATTATAATTTTTGAAGATGAAACCGATATATTTACTTTAGTTTTTGAATACGCAAATAGTAGTACATTAAATTCTTATTTAAATAAATATTTTAACGAACTTGATTGGGATGAAAAGGTTAGATTAGCAATGCAGCTTGCAAGTGCCACATTATATTTACATGAAAATGATATCGTTCATTGCAACCTGGTAATAAATATATTTAAAAATAATTTATTATTAAATGTTAATTACTAATTACTTTGAATTTATATATTGTAGAATGCGGACAATACATTTATACATCAAAAAATTATTAAAATTGCTGGTATTTTAAAGAAAAATAATGGAAATTCAAAAATAACTGGACCTTATATAGATCCAAAAGGTTTTAATAATCAAGATTATAGTTTAAATAAAAAGTCTGATGTTTATAGTGTTGGAGTTTTGATGTGGCAAATTTCAAGCGGACGTCGACCATATTATGATGAAATAGAAAATAATATTATACAAGAAAGAAAAGAAGAGATTATTCCTGGTACTCCTCTTGAATATAGTGAATTATATAAAGGTAAGGTAATAATCATATTAATAATATTTAACATATCTGATTTTATATAAGTAATTTATCAATATTCTAGAATGTTGGAAATATGAACCAGATGAACGTCCAAATATGCAGAAAATTTTTTTACATCTTGATCAATTAACTTCTGATCAATTACAATCTTCCGAAATTAATGTAGAATTTGATAATCTTCAAAATGATAATGCGAGTATATGGATAGAGAATGCCTTAAAAAATGAAAGAGTTAAATTTATACCATTTAAACAATTACAAGACTCTAAACCACTTGATAACGGGAATTTCGGATGTGTTATGAAAGCAACTTGGACTAAGACAGAAGATTTAGTTGCTTATAAAAAATTAACAAATATAACATCCATTAAAGGCAGTAAATTAGATGCTTTTATCCATGAATTAAAAATCCATTTGCAACTTGATCGTAGTGATCGAATTGTACGTATCTTAGGTATTAGTCAAGGTAAATTCGATAATTTATCTATTTTTAAATGAAATTATTTTAGTTATTCATATTTATATCCATAAACAGAACCTAATTCAAAAGATTATCTCCTTATAATGCAATATGCCAATGGAGGTGACCTTCAAAATTATCTCGAAAAGAATTTTAAAAGTTTAACGTGGTTCCATAAGAAAATATTAGCATTTCAAATCGCAGAAGGATTAAATTATTTGCATAATGAAAATATTCTCCATAGGGATCTTGTTAGTATTAATTTTTTATTTATTTATTTAATAATTAAAATTGTATACTTTATTTATTTATTCAATATATCTATTTTAAAATCTAGCATACTAAGAACATAGTTATTCATGATGAAAAAGCTAAAATCACAGATTTTGGTATTTCAAAAAATATGAATACTCAAAGTTCCAGTATTCATATCGATAGTTTTGGTAGGATCCCGTATGTTGATCCAAAGAAACTTTCAGATTTAAATTCTCAATATACACAAGCATCAGATATTTATAGTTATGGAGTGATAATGTGGGAAATTTCTAGCGGAGTTCCCCCGTTTAAAAATCTAACTAGTAAAGGTGAAGAAGCGTTACTTTGTATCAAGATTATTAATGGAGTTCGCGAAAATGCTGTAGAAAATACCCCTAAGTTTTATGAAGAGCTTTATAAAAAGTGTTGGGACTCAACTCCCGAAAAAAGACCAAGTATTAGAAATGTATTAAAAGAACTTGATGAAATGATTATTGAAGAAAAAATGTCAAACACTATAGAAGTAGTATTAGAAAATTCTGAAAAAAAGGATTTTGAAATAGTTAACTCAAATCCCGAGGGAACGGAAATAGATGCCAATAATATTTCAACTGAAAGTATGTATATAATTATTTAATGTATTATTATTGGTTGATTTTAATTTATACCAAACTAATTATACTATATTAATTATACTATTATTATCCATAAAAGTTAACTTTCTTAAACTAAAACAGACCTATACTTAATTTCAATCGAAAGTATGTTCCTTTTTATGATATTTAGACTAGTATTTATTTCATATGGATTTATTATTCAATGAAATGAACTAATGAATTTGAATTGTGTCATTTATATTACAGTTTCGTAGTAATATAGTTCAATATTATTTATTTGACTAAAGTTTATTTTTGGTTTAATTTTTACTTTTATTTATATTTATACTGTATTTGATATATGCCATAAAAAACATCCCATCTCTCTTTTAACGAATTATTCAAGTAATTCAAGCTTCTAGAGGATTTATTGAGTAATACTGGTATTTTTTAATAAATAAATATAAGTTTTTAAATATTAATTTTCAAACATGGTTAAAGATGCACGTGTAATTGAATTTATTAACAGTAAATAAACAATTATATGTGTTTTCTAGGTTAATATTTAACAATTTTTCTTTCGCTTTCATGTGAAGTGAAATTATTTCAAAAATTGTGTGTTTTATCGTTTAAATATATTAAAGAAGGATTTATTGAAAGTTGGTTTTATTATGAAATAGTGGATTAGAAATAAAGTGATTACTCCAAGAGATCGTATTAAGAAATGACTAAAATGTAATTGATTAAAGTGTTTGCTTAGTTTATAAATAAAAAACTTCCTACGATAATAGAATTATAGTCTGTATTTATTTTAAAATCAATTTTAAGGAAATTATTTAATTTTCCTGACATTTATGACATTTCATGGCCTTTATTAAGAATTTGTTAACAATGAATATGGTTCTAATTAATTATCCATTTGAAAAAGTTAATATAAAATAGTAATTATTTTTACGATTTAATTTATTACCAAAAAAATTTTATTAATTCTTATTTTTCCTCACAAAATATAAAATGCAAAAAATTATATAATCATCCAACGTAAAAGAAAGAGCTCAAATGACTCAGTTGATAAATAAGGTACGTTAATTTGTAAAGTCAGAAATAGAATTAGCTATTGTTATAATGATATCATTGTTGTGACTGAAATTACATTATGCTCGACGTCATAAAACTCGAGAATATTCTACTCGAATTGGATCACAAGTAGATTTTGGGATATTTGATTACAATTAATCATTTTATTTAACAAGAATATTTATTTATTAAAAAAAAAACAAAATATAAAACTACACAACAAATTAATACTACAAGTATTATTATTACATGCTAATACGGTAAAAGATTATTTATCATATAGAAAGTATACCCTACGTAATAAGAGATTTTATGATGATGTATTAAAATAATCCATGTGATTAAACCGCAATTCCAACTCTATAGACTATTTCATCGGCAAAGATTTAATTTGATTCAAGCATATGACTTATAAAAATTTGGAATTCAAAATCAATTTAGTTGTTATTCAGGTTTAAATATAATGATACAGGGAAATATTAAAACCTTCAAATGTTTATTTATCACCAATATTATTTTTACCTAAAAGTTAATGGAATAATACAACTTGCAATGAGTTATGGAATTTATAAATCAACTAATTTAGTATCTTGAAATTTATTTGACCATCCTTAATTTATCAATGAATTAAAATTTTTTACGTAATACCTTTATTATCCTCATCCTGTTCAAGATCGGTGAATTAATAGGCTTTGTCAAATCTTTTAAACCAAATGATCTACTCGTATATAAGTATCAGGATTCGTTTTACGGTATCACTGAATTATGATAGATAAAGTAGAAAATAAATTTTGATAATTAATTAAATGATGTTCATTAAAAATGAAAAAAAATATATATTTATATATATTTTTTGTCTGCTCTACTTTTTAAAATAAATATACACACAATAAAAAAAGAGATAAATGAATATGCAAAGTTCGTCGCTCGTGCCTTTCTTTATAAATTGTTTTGGCTGGAAAAGAAAAAGATGCAAATCGAAATCAACATTATAGAAATAATATTTTATTTTATATAAAAAAGTCATATTTATTAAATAATTACATCAACATAAAATTATCAAACTATGCAGGATTCAATTTTTTATATTTTGTAATCGTGCAAGGAAGGAAAAGGTAAAGGATTGGAAGGGTAAGAGGGAGGAACAACGTAAATAATACACAACCCTAACTATACAAATAGTTCAATGCTAAAAGTCGATTTTTTGATAATATTCTAGTGAAGTGTCTAAATTCACGAGTTAAAACACCAAAGGCATCTCTAATCATCCACTCCATCGTTTGCACCAGATAATCCAATTCTTCTTTCTCTCTTTCCCTAGTTTGTTCTTCTGTTAAGGTTATATACAATATTTCGTATCGCCAAAAATTTATTAATATTCAAACTTAAAATGTTGACTTTTGATCTAGTATTTCTCATGTCAACAAAATTTATTATAATTCAAACTCTTTAAAATGTTGACTTTCGACTCGTATTTACATCAACAAAAATTTATTATAATTCAAACTTCAGAAGTATTGAATTTTTGTCTGACGTAACTTTTGCAAGTTTTGCGTCAGATTCTTTCCAGCTTTTATCGTGAATAAGTCTATTCATTGGAACATTTAAAATGCTATCTTTGAAATTTAAAACAAAGGTTTCACAAATGTTCTTGACGAGCAGTTACTTTCATACGCTCCGCAGGATTTTAATGTGTCAAGTTTTGAAGTCGGAGTTAATATAATAATAAGAACTTGTAAAAGGTTTTTACAAAAGAAGCTGTGTATAAGTTTGAAGGACATTTTGTAGATTTTGATAAATATTACAAAAAAAATGGTGGATCATCGCTTCAAAAAATGGAAAAATTATTCCCCAAAACCCCAACATTTTCTCACGTTTTTCACTTTTGTTGCATACTCTGGCGTTCTTTTATTGAGGACAATAAATTTTAAAAGCAAGTAGTCTTTTTATCTTTTTTTTTGGGACCGTTATGACAATTGTATAAAATTTCGGATCAAAAAAAAAAAAATTTCGAAAGTTCCTGTGTAAAAAGATAATATCAATCTTCCATATTCTTGTATTGAAATAATGTACTAATTTGTTCACAAAGTATATATGGTATGGATATCTTTTCATTGGTTAAGATGAACAAAACACATATTTGATTTACGCCACATTCTTTATATTTTTTCCGTCAGTTAAAGAATCCCTATTGACGGGTTCAATTTTCTTGAAAGAATTATGGTAAATATATAATTTGCATTTAATTCGAAAATGTTGTACTTATAATATTTTTTTATTAAATAGTTGCTATCCCGTGGCAACGCAAGTAGAGAATTCGCCCGTTTTAGAAATCATAAAACTCTTGTAAATTTATCTTCGACATAATAAATATTATATATATAAAATATTATGGTGGATGTATTTCTTTCAAAAAATTTAATAATTTTTAAAATAATCATACGTAATGACTTTAACCATTAAATTCAACAGTGTAAGATTATTAATTACAAGCTATTAAAAGTCTGAATTTCCGCTGAAATTTCCAAAAGAATATTTATTACCTCGGGAAGACTAAATAACTGCGCCTGAGGAAAATAAGCTGCGCCTTTTTCCCAACCAATATATATATTACGCTACTCAAGTTAAATGTCAGTATTTTCACTCAACAAACCTCGATAAATATAAAGGTTTGGGTGAGAATTAGACTGACATTAATTATTGGTAGAGTAATAGTTTACTTTTGTCCTTTGTTTTTAAATTTAGTTTTTGCATTTCTTAATACAATCTTATTCCTTTAACCTCGTTAATTATCGTTTGAATAAAACTCCTGTACGACATACGAATTAAATTGATATTCTTGACTTAGAAATTTGTTGCGCGATTATTTTTTGACGACTTTCTGACGTATTCTATTGATCTTTTTAAGAAATGCATATTATAAAAATTTTAATATATATAGGCTTCGTTTTTGTCTTTGTTTTGACAGAGAAATTTCGGCACCTTCTCTTAATGCCTATTTGTACTTTCTTAGTAATTATCGTTTGATATATGATCTTCATTATAAAATATCGCCTTCGTCTTTGTAATACTTAACCCATTTTTTAACTCGAGATTAAGAGGTACTTAGTAAGCATTCCTTATGTAAAATAAAAATCTTTGGTGTCAGGGATGGAGCTTTACAATGAAGGAAATATCCGATATTACTATCGTTCACCTAATTTGTGTTACATGTAAGGGGTAAAATATATTTACAGAGACCGAATTTTCGTAATTCATATTTATATCCATTAAAATAAAACTTAATTCAGAAGAATATCTCCTTATAATGCAATATGCCAATTGTGGTAACCTTCAAAATTATCTCGAAAAGAATTTAAAAGTATAATAAGAAAAAATTAGCACATCAAATCGCTGAAGGATTAAATTATTTGCATTTGAAAATATTCTGCATAGGATCTTGTAAGCATTCGTTTTTTTTGTTATTTATTTAATAATTGAATTGAAATGCTTTATTAATTCAAAATATTTATTTTAAATCTAGCATTCTAAGAGCATAGTTATTCATGATGATAATGCCAAAATCACAGATTTTGGTATTTCAAGAAATATGAATACTCAAAATTCCAGTATTCATATCGGTAATTTTGGTAGGATCCGTATGTTGATCCAAAAAAACTTTCAGATTTAGATTCTAAATATACCAAAGCTTCAGATATTTATAATTATGGAGTGGTAATGTGGGAAATTTCTAGCGGAGTCCCCCCATTTAAAAATTTAACTAGTAAAGGTGAAAAAGAGTTACTTTGTTACAAAATAATTAAAGGAGATCGTGAAATTGCTGTAGAAAATACCCCTAAGCTTTATGAAGAACTTTATAAAAAATGTTGGGACACAATGCCAGAGAAAAGACCGAGTATTAGAAAAGTATTAGACGATCTTGAAAAAATTATTGAAGAGAAAAAGCCAATCGCTATAGAAGTATCAGAAGAATCTAAAAAAATATGTTTTGAAGATCATCACTCATATCCTAAGGAAACGGATATTGATGTTTCAACTAGAGGTGTTTATTAAATATTATTGACAAAATTTATACTAACGTATAATTGTACTGTATAACAAACTAAACTGTGATATGTAATAATAATTCGATTCCAGATGAGCAAACTAATGAATTACATCATCTTGTAGATTCATGTTCTGAATTAAGCAGTAAGTCATTCAATATAATGTTACATTACTTAAATGCTCATTAATGAAATTGAAATTTGTTAATTATTTTACAGTATCGTAATCTATCAGTGTTGGTTGAAAACGACATCAAATGATATTTTATACTATAAATTTCCAAACGTCTAAGTTCATTTTAAAAATACGCTTTTATTTATGTTTTTTTTTTTTTATTTTGATTTATATATATTTATAAAGAATATCAAATACTCAAGCAATTCAAGCTTCTAAAGAATTTCTTGATAATTTGTATGTGTATAAATATTGAAATAAATATTGGACTCATTAAAGTTTTAATTAGCAGATAATTAAGATCTATTTATTTATATAAAATGGAAGTAAATCTTTGAAGCAATAGTATTTATACTCCTACTGATAACATAAATATATATATGTATTGTATAAATTTTCTAGGTTCAACTATTGGAATTACTTTATCAAGTGAAATTTGAAATAATTGTTATTTTTGTTTGATTATATTCGTATACTGCATTTGAAGTTTTGCAAATATTTTAAAATTTATTATTTTTCCAATTTGATTGTTATCAGGTTCTGAGAAAAATTTAACAAAATTGAGATGTTTATTGCATATTAGTTTTTGATTTTATTAGACTAAATTGCAAGTGCATAAAGCTCTTAATTTTAGTCAAAAATTTCTCGAAACCTGATTTTCCTAGCCTAGAAATCCTTCCATATGTGACTAACTTGTAGTCGCAATGAAAATCAGTGATGTCAAGTGACTCAAATGACTGGTCATGTGTCATTTGGGTCATTTCAACATTAAATGACAAATGACCAGGTCATTTAAAATTTATATCATGTGATCTCAATAATTCTGGCCAACTTAATTATGTTTCGAACATTTTCATAAATACTTCACGTGATATAAATTTGTAATTCTGGCCAGCATATAAAATTTGGCCTGTATTACATTTAAATGACCAAATGACAAATGACCTCAAATGACCAGGTCATTCGAAGGTCGCCAAATGATCTGGTCATTTGCCATCACTGATGAAAATTGACTATGTTAATTTTAATATAATATCACGTAATAAATCAAATGGTTTGATTTTTACTGATAAATTAAAATAAGTATTTTTGTACTAGTAACCCATCAGTTATATAATGAACCCAACATTTGAGCATAAATATTTATTGCCGAAATTTTTCCAATCAGCCGATATGATTATATAGTTTAGAGAGGCTCGATAAATCAAATAAATATTTATATAATCACGATTTTTATGAATGGTTCATGTATTTCTTTTTTCTTATAAATTAAAAATACTAAGTACAGTATTGACTATTTAAAATACACATGGTAATTTATGAGATAATATAATATTTTAATATCGCAGGTAAGATTTCTACAGACATCTAAATCGAAACCCGTCGAAACAGTCGAACCTATCGAAATCGACTTTCGCCAAATTGGGATTAGGTTTTGCCCCACAACCTTAATCGCGGGCCATTATTTTAACAAATCCTCTTTGTGGTCTCGATTTATAACTTATGAGCAAATTATCATAAAAAATATGATTTTGGAATTTCCTGTCATAACCGTTTTAATTACATTTGCGTCTTCCTTTCTTATACGAAATCCCAATTTTGTGGAAATTTTAAAATTGAAAATTTAAATGCTTAATGTTAATAATGAGTCCAATAATTACAAATCAGATTTAATAAAGATATTATATGGAAGTTAATTCAATGTCTGGGGTTTGAACAGGACGGGATTTTACTATTAATCATGTTATTAAAAATCTTGATTATTGATAGTGACAATAATATCAGATGGAAGAAATTTTTTATCTGCAGAATTTGATATATTTCTTTGTTTAATGTGACCACTTCGAGATGTAAAAGAACTTTCAAGACAATCTGGTGCAAATTTTTTTGCTAATGTTTAAAATAATTATTAAAGTTTAATATATAATTTTAATCATTAATTTAATTAATTAAATTAAATAGCAAACTAATCTTAAGTGCTGCTTCTGTTTTTAAAATACTATGAAAACAGAAATAATATCTATTTCAATGCGTTTCACCTGAAGTAGCTAAAGCAATTGTTTTACCATATACTGCCTTTGTTCATTCCTTAATAGACCAGTAAAATAATTTGATGAGTGAAAATAACTAACAATTCTAACAGCTTTTATTGAAGTTTGTTGATAAACATCAGATTCCTTGAAAATTTCTCCTACTATTAAGTTCATTTGATGGGCCATGCATGGTAAAAAAACCTTATTTGGAAATTCTATCCACATAATTCTCCAATTAAAAATTAATTAAATAATAATTATAATTATTAGTGTATTGATATTTTCGATATTCTAAAAAATTAGATATCAAATTTCCTAAAAATAAAAAAAAAATAAATAAAATTTTTAATTAATAAAAATACATACCGTGCAGTAGCATATTCACCAGCCAAATCAGAAACAAAACAATTTATTCTAATATTTTTTTTTCAGCATCAGCCATTATATTTTTAATGTGATTAATTACATCTTTAGTTTTGATCTTTCATCGCTAATATCATTTTCCACCCCAATAAGTGTTTCACCTGTTGATGTTATAAAAACAACACCAAATAAATGTTCTTACTTGTTTAACGTTAGACCATCCATCGAAAACTGCAGTTACTCCAATTTTACCTTTTTGTGCTATTTTCATGATTGATTTTGTTAAAATTTTGGTAGATTTTGGTAAAATTTTATCGCTCATTTTTCGTCGACCTAGTAATTTCAAAGCTGGGGCAATAAAGCAAAAAGATCCTTTGTTTCTTGATTTTCTAAAAAAGTAAAGGCTAGTCCATTTGATACTTACATTCGCAAAAGTACAATTTCAAAATATGGTATGTCTCTTTTTGTTAATGGTCGCGATACATAGTTTGTAATACGAGATTGAGTGATAATTTCCGGTTTAGTTATTAATTCTTCTACTTCATTTTTTGCTGTTCCCTCTTCCTTATTTTTCTCCTCATTTTCCGAATCTGATGACAAGTCATCATCTAAAAATTTTTATTATAAAAAAATAATATAATTATATAATTAATTAAATACTTTAAAATATTTATAAAAAAATTCATATAATTATATAATTAATTAAAATACTTTAAAATATTCTTTACCTAATTCATCTTCAATCACAACTACATTCTTTCCTTTTTCGTTTTTTTTTTTTCGTTTTTTATTTATTTTTTTATCATCTTCAGGAACTTTTCGTGTTAAAATTTCCATTCTATCCATTTACGATACTTGAACTTCAAAATTTACACATTTTGTAAGATGTCCATGACAAAGTTTAGCCTTATTTGAAACATAGCAGTCAGCCCTAAGTGAAGCTGCAGGTAGTGTATACTCCTTTATACAAAATTTACAGACTGCACGTTTGTTTGCTGTTATTTTGGGTGGGTCAACTAATACAAAGAACTCCCGGAAATTATGCAACTTTCTCATATTTGTAATTGCCAAATATCTTTGTAATAAAAAGTGGTTTCCTAAAAAATCAAGGTTTTTTATTATTCTTTGTTCACTTTTTTCTCGTGCTATCATTTTAATTTAAGTAATAAACAAGGATTTTGGTTGCATGTTATAGTTGTACGATGTGTACGATGTTCAAAATTATAGTTACACGATAATCATATTATAAATTCATGTAAATGACTTTCAAATGACCGTCAATATAAATTTAATAAAGTTATTGGCAGTGCCACATCGTAAAAAAAAAAAAAAAAAAAAAAAAAAGACCGTCAAATGACCTAACATGATCCTAGTCATTTAGGTCATTTGTCATTGATGAAATGACTTATTTTGAATGACTCAAATGACTAAGTCACTTGAAGATCATTTGACGGTCATTTAAAAATAGGTAAATGACCTGGTCATTTTCCATCACTGCTGAAAAATGATCTTGATTTTAGGATGTAAAAGATTACCTTAGGTTTTGTAATTTAAAGATCAATCATGATAATTTTAATTTCGATGTAACTGTTTTATTTCAGTTAAATTCTAATTTGGACTATCTGAAATTGAACTGCGGACAGAATCTGAATTTCAGATACAAGGCCGTCTGAAATTGAGATATCTGAAACTGAACTTCAAATAAAATCTTAATTTTATACAAGTTATGTATTTATAAATTAAAATTGAAGAAATATGTAGAATCTATCTAAATGTAAATAAGTAATTTATTTTAATTAATATAATTTTATATATTTTTTTTAAATATAAATAAAACTAAAAAATAAAAAAGTAAACTTAAAAAAAATGAAAAGTGAAAAAAAAAGAACTTACTTATTTTCTGAAAAACCTTATTGAAAATAAATCGAAATTAAAAAAAGATAAAAATCTTAAATTCAATCGGTTCAACAATAAAAATGAAATAAAAAATGTTTAACTTACGTTATATTTTTAAAAATAGAAAATAAAAAAAAGAAAGTCCGAATGTAATCAAAAATCCTAAAAAAAATAAATTAATTAAATGATAAAATAAAAAGAAAATAAAAAAAACTGAAAAATATAAAAAAAAAAATCCTTAAAAAAAAAGTAAATCTATTAAGAATAATAAAAAAAAAAATTAAATAAATATCGGAAATTTAAATGCTATAACATTTAATAAATAAATGCAGCGAAATTAAATGTTATCTTCTTGTTTTAAATTATATAATACAACTAAAAAACTAAAAGATAATTAGCATGAAAATATAAAAGTTTAAATAAATTATCTGAAGTTGGAATTCAGATAACATAAAGAGTGCCTGAATTCCAACTTCAAGCGAAACCAATTTCAATCACAACATCAAAACATTAATATTCAAATGTATTATAAATCTAATCCTTGAAGGTCAAAATAATATATTAAAAGGTCTGTCAAAAATTGAAATCAAAACATAGGATTTTGACTTTTGCCATTTGCTAAAATGAGATTTCCCTTAAATCTATAGGTTGCAACTGGATATTAATTGGTATTGCCCAAAGTCTTTCAAATTTAATCGGACCGATCCTAATATAATATTTTGTGCAAGCATATGTAAAAATTTTTTTAAGCTTGTTTCAAAATCTTAAATATATAGTCACTAACTTCTCTGGTCATATATCACATGCTATTAATCAGAAAAAAATTTACGCATATAAATAAACAATATAGACTTTGATTGATTAACGCCAAGAATTCTTCTCTCTTTTACTCGGTATTATCTCTAGGGAGCGGGACCATTGTTAAGACCGGAACGATCTTTAACTAAAAAAATATTGAAAATAACAATCGTCACCATTTACACAATTATGCGATACATATACAATGCGTTTCTAAATTATCTTTAACTTTTGATTAAACTAAATGTTAACATATTTGAAAAATTTTAACATTATCGGATTGCATTTTAAGGAATTATATTTTAAAGAGTTTTTTTTTTTTTATTTTTATTATTTTTATTATGATTATTATTTTTTTTTTCTAACTTTGCATTATTATTGTCTTCCTTTTGTTCCAAATTATTATACATTTTATTCATAAAAATTATACCAGAGATACAAGAAATGTTAGTTTCTAAGATTCATTTACAGTTCTTCAATAGTACAATTATATCCTCCTGTAATAATCCAAATTCTTTCTAATATTCCTGATAGAATATCTTTTGGTGTATGTAGTTTACTGTATATTTACCAAATTTCCTTTTATATTATTGTGTATAATTACTGTAAATCTTCCTGGCCTGTCAGCCGATCATTTATTCTAGTTAAAATTTACTTATTCCGGGAGATAAGTATACTTAGTGTTTGATTATAATTTTATTTAGAAATAAATATAAAATATCTCTTTCAAAATCCACACTGCCTTGTCCAATTTTAACGTAATACAATTCTTGAATACGACGAAATATGAATATTTGCGTTACACGAAATAAATTTCACTAAAGAATGATCGACATGTATTGTGCTGTCTTGCAGATATTGTCATACCTTATAAAATGAAAAACCTTTTTTTTTACTTGAAAAAAATTTTAATTCCACCTAGATTTTATTTGCAATGTCTGATAATAAAAATAAAGGTAAAAGCGCAGTATAAAACTTTATACATGCTGAAGACAATTTTTTTTTTTAAAACAAAATAACTTTTACAATTAGAGACATTATTGGAAACTCCAACATTAAAAGAATTAAACGGTAAGAAAATTATATGTTATTAATAATTACTTTTTTATTTTTATAAAAAAAATTTAATGATTTATAGATTGTAAGTTACTTTGAATCTCCACTATATTTGAATATGATCATTATAATTTGAACAGCTAAATTTTTATTTAAATACGGATGTTGCTTTAGGGAGTAAGTTAATTTTTTTTTGATTACCTATACTTTACTAAATTTAGACTCGACTAAATTTATTTAAAATATATAATTAATAATATATCATAATTCTATAGTTGGTAAGTTATTTTTATTGATTAAATCCCTATTAACGTTAACGAAACTTTATTAAAATCACCCGGCTAATTTTTATTTTAAAAATATCGATTAGATGGTAAGTTATTTTATCGATTGACTAAATTTTTATAATAAGTCAAAATTAACTAACTTTTTTTTTAAAACAATTTGATATTAGAAAGTAAGTTGTTTGTTTATGGTTAACAATATTTAATTATCGTTATGCTTTATAATATGAGTTTACTCAAATTATTTTTAAAAATATATTTAATAATCTAGATAGTAAGTTATTATTTAATTATACTATCTGTAATTTTAATTCGAGTAAATTTGTTTATAAATGATTGAATGTGATTTAGATGGTATCTTTATTGAATTTTTATGTTGAATAATCCTTTTTACTGGAATTTAAATTCAACTAAATTGTTTATTGAATTAATATTTAATTATTTAGATGGTAAGTTGTTGTATTATAATTTTTTTTAATTGTAATTTTCTTAACCAAGTATTTTATTTAAAAAAAAAATTTAAAATTTAGATTGTAAGTTGATAAATTGTATTTAACTATACTTTAAATTTAAAATTAACTGAAATTATATTTTTTTTAAAAAAAAATATTTGATTATATAGATAGTAAGTTATTTTTATTTATTTTATTTATTTTAATTTAATTTAAAATTAACTAGATTTTTAATAATTTAGATAGTAAGTTATATATTAATTAATTCATTTGCTTAGAATATGTAAATTTTTTGAGTTATAATAATAGTTAAATTTTTATTTTAATTAACTACTTAATTATTCAGTTTGTAAGTTATTTGGATAATTATATTTAATTCAAACTTAATCTTTTTAACTAATTAATTTATAATTTATCTGATATAATTCTAATTAAAATAAATATAGATAGTAAGTTTTATTATATTTAATAACTTTTTTTACTACAATTGATAGTTATTTAAATATTTTTTATAATTATAGATAGTAAGTTTTTTAATTAATTATGTTAAATTATATTTATTTAAACATATTAATTATGATTTTGCTATAATATTTATTTAAAATAATTTAGTTGGTAAGTTGTTAAGTAATTATATATTTATTGGTTAAATAATTGCATTATAATTAATTTTTATTAACAATATTTACAGATGATATTACTTTAAAAGGTAATTCAATTTCTATTTATTACTATATAAAAATATATTTTATTAATCAATTATACTTTTATTAATTAAATAATAATTTTTAGATTGTAAGTGATTTTGATACTATTTATTAATTTAATTTAATTAGTTTTTTTATTAAAATTTTATTAATAATATAGATGGTAAATTATAACTTTATTTTCATATTAAAAATAATAATATTATTTTAATATATAATTTTATATTATACAAATAAAATTTTATGACTTATAATTTGATTTTGTAAGTATAATTTTAAATTTTAATTATACAATATATAAATTTAAAGAATATTATTAATAATATAAATTTATAATTTAGAAAATAGGAATTTGTTTAAATTGTAATAAATTAAATACTGAATATAAATGGTGTAAAGAATGTAATTCTAATTTCTTTCAACAAAATTTTTCTAATTGGACTAGTAAAAATGAATTTATTGATAAATTTATTCAAGAAATTCAAATTAATGCTTTAAATAAAAATCAAATATTAGAATGGATTCCTTATGATAAATTTGAAAATATTGAATATCTTAATAAAGGAGGATTTAGTATTATAAATAAAGCCATTTGGATAGATGGATATATTAAATCTTATTCAAATAAAGATAAAAATTGGATTAGAAGTGGTAAAACTGAAATAGTTCTTAAAATTTTAAGTAATTCATCAAATTTGAATGAAGAAATTTTGAATAAGGTATATAATTAATATTTATTTTTAATTTATAAATAATTAATTTTAAATTTTTTTTTATTATTTAGTGGAAATATCATTATAAATGTTATAGTCAATTAAAGTATTATTCAAATGAAATTATTATTCAGTTATATGGATTTACTCAAGATCCAAATACTTTAAATTATATAGTAGTAATGTCTTATGCAAAAAATAAAAATTTAAGAGAAAATTTATCAAATATAGTTAAAGATAAATGGATTATAAAATTATTAAAATTATATTATATTATAAGCGGACTTCAATTAATACATCACCAAAATCTTATTCATTGTTGTATTCATGATGGTAATATATTAAGTATTAATCAAAAGATCTTATCTATTAATGATTTTGTATTATGTAAACCTATAGAATATTTTCAATCAAAAAAAAATGATATTTATGGTGTTATACCATTTGTAGCACCTGAAGTTTTGAGCAGTCAACCTTATACTTTAGCTAGTGATATTTATAGTTTTTCTATAATTATGTGGGAATTTACATCTGGAAATATTCCTTTTAATAATAAAGTTTATGATGTTCAACTTATTATAGAAATTTGTGAAGGTAAACGCCCTGAAATTATTAAAAATACTCCACAATGTTATATTGATTTAATGAAAAAATGTTGGGATATAGATTTACAAAAAAGACCAACTGCATTAGAAATTAGTGAAATCATTAAAAATTGGTATATAAATATCAAAAATAATAATTTTAATGATAATTTCAAAAATGATATTATACAATTTTATAAAGCAGATAAAGTTTTAAAACAAAAACAAAGTGATTTTTCATTTATATCAGAAATTATTAATAATGAAATTAAAGTTAATAAAGGTAATTATTATAATATTTATTGATTTATAGAATATAAATTAATTTAATAATTTTAATTTGATAGGAATTTTAAATAATAATAGTAAGTAATTTAAAATTAATATGCTTTAAAATTATTAATTATAATTTATTAATTATAATTTTATAAATATAAAAATTTTTTATCAAATAAATTTTAAAAATTGTATATCCTATAATGTTAGATGAAATTATAAATCAAAATAATTTAAATAAAACTTTAAATCAAAAATATAAATATGAAATTTTAGATCAAAATAATTTGTATGAAATTATAGATCAAGAAAAATATTTTCATATTTATAATTACTTAGAATTCAAAAATATACAAAAAATAGGAGGTGTATTTACAATTGTCTATTGTGCAAATTGGAAATATAATGATAACTTTGTTATTTTAAAATTATTTAATAATTTTAATAATAGAATTATTGAAGAAATTAAGAGTGAGGTAAATTTTTAATAAATTAAATGATAAAAGGTTTAATTAAAGTTTGATTAATAATATGATCTAAAATTATACAGTTAAAATTACAACAAGAAATTAAATATCATCCAAATATTATACAATTTTATGGGATTACAAGTATAAAGATTGGTAAGTAAAAAAATAATACTTATTTAATTATATATATTTTGTTGCATTTTTTTAAAAATATAATTATTTTCAAAGATGAAATAAGTAAATACGTTTTAGTTATGGAATACGCCGATAATGGCACTTTAAACTCCTATTTAGATGAACATATTAATATACTTAATTGGAATGACAAATATAAATTAGCGCATCAAATTGCAAGTGCTGTATTGTATTTACATAAAATGAATGTTGTTCATTGTGATCTGGTATATGTTAGTTTATTAATTTATTATTAATAATTATTTACTACTACTAACTAATGATAATTTTTTAGAATGCAGTAAATATATTTATACATCAAAAAAGTATTAAATTAGCATGTCTTGGCTTATCAAACAAATTTAATAAGAAATCAAGAATATCGGGACCTTATATCGATCCAAAAGGTAGAAATAATCAAGATTATAGATTAAATAAAAAATCTGATGTTTATAGTATTGGAGTTTTGATGTGGCAAATTTCAAGTGGACGTCGACCATATTATGACGATGAGGATGATAATATTTTGCAGGAAAAAAGGTATGAAATTATTCCTGGTACACCTATCGAATACAGTAGTTTATATGCAAGTAAGTAATATCAAAATTTAACGTTATTATTTAAAAAATATTAATATATCTTTTTTTTTTAGAATGTAGGGAATATGAACCATGCGAACGTCCAAATATGCAAGAAATTGTTCTTTCTCTTGATCCATTAATCCTTGATCAATTAAAATTGTCCGAAACAAATATAGAGATTAATAACCATCAAAAAGATAATGCGAGGAAATGGATAGAGAATGCTATAAATAATGAAAATGTTAAATTTATACCTTTTAATCAGTTACAAAATTCTAAACTACTTGATACCGGGAATTTTGGATGTGTTATGAAAGCAACTTGGATTAAAACAGATACATTTGTTGCTTATAAAAGATTAACTAATATAGCATCCATTAAAGGCACTAAATTAAATGCTTTTATTCATGAATTACAAATACATTTGCAACTTGATTATAGTGATCGAATTGTACGTTGCTTAGGTATTAGCCAAGGTAATTTATTATATTTTCCTTCATTAAATTTAATATTCTAATATACTAATATCATGCTTATAGATAGTAATTCACAAGACTATCTTCTTATAATGCAATATGCTAATGGCGGTGACCTTCAAAATTATCTCGAAAAGAATTTTAAAAGTTTAACATGGTTCGATAAGAGAAGATTAGCATTTCAAATCGCAGAAGGATTAAATTATTTGCATAATGAGAATATTCTGCATAGGGATCTTGTAAGCATTCGTTTTTTGTTATTTATTTAATAATTAGAATTTAATACTTTATTTATACAAAATATATATTTTAAAATCTAGCATTCTAAGAACATAGTCATTCATGATGGAAATGCTAAAATCACAGATTTTGGTATTTCAAAAAATATGAATACTCAAAATTCCAGTATTCATATCGGTAATTTTGGTAGGATCCCGTATGTTGATCCAAAAAAACTTTCAAATTTAGATTCTAAATATACCAAAGCTTCAGATATTTATAGTTATGGAGTGGTAATGTGGGAAATTTCTAGCGGAGTCCCCCCATTTAAAAATTTAACTAGTAAAGGTGAAAAAGAGTTACTTTGTTACAAAATTATTAATGGAGGTCGTGAAAATGTTGTAGAAAATACCCCTAAGCATTATGAAGAGCTTTATAAAAAGTGTTGGGACTCAACGCCAGAGAAAAGACCAAGTATTAGAAAAATATTAAAAGAACTTGAAGAAATGATTGAAGAGAAAAAGCCAACCATTATAGAAGTATCAGAAGAATCTAAAAAAGTGGGTGTTGAAATAGATGACTCAAATCCCGAGGAAACGGAAGTAGATGACAATAATTTATCAACTGAAAGTATGTATAATAATTTTTTAATATTATTGATTGATTTTAATTTACATAAATTATACTATATTAATTACTCTATTATTATCCATAAAAGTTAACTTCCTTAATTTAAAACAGGCCTAAACAAAGTACGTTTCTCTTTTATTATTTATAATTGTGACAGTCTCCGCTCTTTCTTAATCTATTGCTAATAAATTGTTAAGTTTTCTCAAGTATATGAAATAATCGTCTTTGGATATATATATTCTGATTAAACAGTAAGATATTTAAACTAGTATTTATTTATTTAATATGTATATATTATTCTAAGAAATGCACTAATGCTTTTGAATTGTGTCGATTAAATTACAGTTTCGTATTAATATAGTACTTTTAAATAATACATTGTTGTCAATATTATTTAACAGGCTAAAGTTTATTTTTGTTTTTTAATTTTTACTTTTATTTATATTTATATAGTATTTGATATATGTCATAAAGAACATCCCATCTCTCATTTACCGTATTATTCAAGTAATCCAAGCTTTTAGAGGATTATTGAGTAATGTTGGTATTTTGTGATGGCGATGAATATTTTTAATAAATAAATAATAAGTTTTTAATTAAAGGCTATTAATTGACAAAGTGAAACATAAAAACTATCTTGCGTGCGCCATGTTTTGTAAGAATCAACGAAACTTCTATATAGGATGTAAAAATAAATACAAATTTGAATCTAACCACAGATAAATTTTCGAATTATACGCTTTCAGATCCTATCAACCAGTTAGTAGGATGTAATAATAAAATTTACTATAGTAATGATTTTGTTTAGTTCTCAAGTAATTTCGTAATATGAAATTAAAAAAAATTGATTTTTCGAATTTCGTCATTACACATCATAGGATCTTCATTTAAAGTTAAATTGAGAATTTTATGTCTGAAGAAATATTTCTATTGGTATTGTCGCTATTAAATCGTCGAGCATTCTTGCAATGTCGCATGCGTTAAAGTTAAAATTGCAAAACTTTAACGTTAATCAATTTAAAATGGTTCATTTTATTCGTGATCAAGATCGGTGAAAAGGGAGTAACTATATCGGTCTTACCCCGTTGCAGTGAAAATCTTTATCCTTAAATGGATATTGATGGCTGATCTAACCTTTTCTAATAGTCAGCCGGTTTGCTTTTGTTACTTTATGAGGAAAATACTAATTTAAATTTTAATATAAATATCGAATGTGAATTCCTCTCTCTGTCCGGTTACTTTTATCAAAAAAAATGAACTCAACGCGAAGTACCCAAAAAATAACTGATAAGGTTGAACCAAAAAATGAATTCCTTAAACACGGAGATATTAAGTCTTATTTTAAACCATGGAGCAATAAATACAAATTACACACCTTCTCATTAGACCACGCGAAAAGTTCGGAATCCAATCCGACTACCCTAATCTGGGAACCTTCCACTTCACATGGATTGGCCTCAGCGATCATTCATGCTTACACCCTTCACCAACATCTTCGATTCTCACCAGACGACGTGTGGTTAACTATCGCACAAGGAGTTAGTAATCACATTTGGATTAATTCCGAAAGGTTTCGTCGATCATGAAGGTCAGGAAGAAGTCCTTATAGATGCTCGTGACATTATAGGACATGTCAACGGAAATTTCTTAGGTGATTGGCCGAAAGCGATCGCTCGACTTTCAGATTCTACCGATCAACGAGTTAAAAAAGTTGGTTTAAAACAACTTCTCGAATGTGATTTCTCCACCTCATCAAGTGCATCCATCACCGCTAGTCAAATTATATTGTTGGATTCGATGAAAAAGTATTTCACCTACGGAATGCGTGGTGGTTGTGGTATTCCAAAGGTTACACTTGATGGTACCTTAGAAGATTGGTTACATCTTCAAGAAAAGGTCGCAAAACTTCGTGGGTTAGGATTGAACCTTGATTTTTGGTTGGACAGACTGGAACCGGTGGTGGCCCAATTCGTTAACACCTATAAAGGAAACGTTGATGAAGACTTTTGGAGCATGGTAATTTACCAGGTTCCTTACGGCAGTGGAATGCCGACTCCTTGCTGGGATGGATGGGTATGCGCTTTGTTTCCGTATACTGAGTCAAGATTCAAACTTACGAAAAATTCTATTGTTCCTTCTTCAATACCTTCCGGATTGGTGAACGTTCCATTTAAATTGAATATTGAGGAAGAGAATTTCAAATTGAGTTTCTCTGCGGGCTTTTTGGGTGCTAGACAGGATAAGATTAACGATGAGTATGTCGTTTCACCTGTTATTGGTTGGTACGTTGCTGATGCCTAAAGTTCGAAATGTGTTATCATCATTGTATTCACATATGTAGCCATTTTTTTTAAAAATAAATTTACGTTTATCTTTTTTATCTTTTTTGAAATATATTTTTACGCATATACTATATGGGTTGATTGCTAGGAAAATCAGGTTCCGGGAATTTTTTAACAAAATTGAGATTCTTATTGCATTTTAGTTTTTGATATTATTAGATTAAAATGTATTAAGCTCTTAATTTAAGTCAAAAATTTCTCGGAACCTGATTTTCCTAGAAACCCTCCCATATGTCCAACACATAAATTGAGCTTTGCTTGACATCTATTCAAGCATCGATTTCATTGTGCATGAAATGCCAATACATTGGAAATTCAGCGTTATAAAATGAGCGAAACTGGAGCACCGAATGAAATGAAAAAAAAAAGTTAAAATATATAAACTTAATAAGTTTTGTATTCACTAAATAATTTAATAATAATAATAAATTCAGGATGACCTACATAATATTTTTTTTTTTTATTTTTTGAATTTCAAATTTTGTACGACCTAATTTTTATTTTATGACACGGTTTCCTAATTAGTCATCGTGGATTTTCGTATATTTAAAGTTTTAAATTACCATTATATAAAAGCTATTTAGAAGATATTAGTTGTTCTAAAGTATTTATTTGCAATGTTATATTTCTAAAGGTTATTAGAATTAATTTATTTTCATTTGTGTTAAACTGGCTTTTAAATAAATAAAACAAGATAAAATAAAAAGTTCATAATTTCAGATGATTTATTTACCAAGAAATTGCACCATCTATCTATATGTCATTCAATCAACTCTACACCGCTTATATACAATTGTTTTGTATTATCTGCCGAAACTTTTAAAATAGACTTTGCGTATTTGCGATTATCCACTCCACTCAACATCTCTTCCATCGAATCAAAGTTTTCTAAGAAAAATATTCGATTCCACAAGTTTGCCAATTTGTAACCACAGGTATTTTAATTTTTCGCTCGTTTAATATTTAATTTATTTCAAGGTATTCTGTAAACTATTTGAATTCTATCCCTTATTTTATAGTCATCTATTTTATATAAACATATTCCGGTTAATTTTTTTGAAATCTAAGCTGTAGGATGATTTCAACTGACAATTCTACCAAGTTCGAGTTCATTTCGAAAGAATGCTGAAAATGAATTTAGGGATTATTCAAGTAACGATATATTGCCCATAATGTTCGTTAGTTGAAACTCCAACCTAAGACCTCCTTTAGACCTGTTAAAATATATTCAATTACGTTTGTTCGGATTCGACTTCATAAATCATTTGAATTTTTATTATTAAATGATTAACTTCAAAAAAAAAAAAAAAAAAAAAATATTTTTGCGCACAAAAGAAGTGTGGTTTGAAGATCCAAATGTCCCGTCTCTAAAAATAATAATAGTAAACGATAACAAAAAATTAAAGATTAATATATGTATATATCTCTCAATACATCAGTAATTGTCAACAAATTACATAGAGTTCTCTAACTAGTAAGGATTGTGGTACTAAATTTTAAAGTATGGAACCGTCACGCCAACAAGTTGGTAAATTACCAAATATTTGACATTAATTATAAAATCCGTTGATGCCAGAAGATTTCTTAAAATTGAATTTGAATTGGATTGGTATTTGTATGAAAGATTGTTTTTAAAGTGTTCTACGTAAAAAAAAAAGGAAATTTCAAAATTTATCAACATTGTTCTACAGGAATAAAGGCGCGTATGAATTATACGATATCAAATCATGTTAAAATTTAAAATACAATGTTTTAAATTATTTTGTAAAATAAAAAAAAGTGGCAAAAATGTTCAAACTTATATTTTGTTCTTGATTATAAATTTTACGAAAAAAAAAAAAACTAATTTCTTCAAAAAACATTTTAGTAACGCCAGTATGGAACATTATTGCCGAACTTTAGCCTATTCGATTTCGATTTCGATTTTAGAAACTATCTCAATCCTAGGACATGATATCATTAAAAATTTCGCACCGGAGGAATTGCATTGTAACTTAACAAAGGACCGATATGGTATTATGAACAATTTTAAAATTCTATTTAATAAACTCACTTTAAGATAAAGAATAAATCAGCTATTTTCGAGTAATAAATTTCAATGCATGGCACGAGTTCATTTTTGTTATATTTATAGAGATCTTTAGAAAATTTTGTTTGATGGTTATTATTTTTTTACTTGGCATATTTGAAGAAGCTAAACGAAGACGTATTTTAATGAATCGAGAGGTCAAAATAATAAATATTGTTAAGTTACTTTAATCAGTAGCTATACTTGCATTTCGTGTTGAATCACCATTGATAAATATGTTGCCGCAGCAATCACGTTTTTTTAAAAAAAAAAAAAGCCAAAAATAAATATCAAAATGGCTTTAATATGTAATCCACCAATTAAAATGATTTAAAATAATAATCATCCTTTAAAGGAAATTTATCAAAATCTGAGAGATACACCAAAGCAAAATATTAAATAGGGGCAAGCAATAATTTTGACAATCTTTTCGTATAGCTCTTAATATGAAATAGCGTCAAATGAGTGTTAAGAAAATTTTTTAGCGCTTTTAATCGAAAAATAAAAAAATAAAAAATAAAAAAGCAAAGAAATAAAATTGTTTGATAGTATATTCCATCATAAACCAAAGTTCAAAGTTCGAACATGGAGACGAAGTATTTTTGAATTCGATGCAACGGAAATTCCTAAAATAAGATTTGTGAATCGCGAATCAAGTTGCGCAGCATAATCTTTTTTATGCAACAATACATTTTGTTTATGAAATACAAATTAAATTTATTCCCAAATTAAGGATGATAAAAAAATGAAAAGAATTTTTCTTTTAAAAATGATTTCTTTTCGAGTGAGAATTCATAAGTCTAGTCGATTAATCATAAAAAAAAAAATAAAATAAAACAATAATTTTTTTTTTTTTTGCATTAATTGGAACTATGACTTTCAAAAATTATAAATTGGTAAACATTTTCATGTTGATCTATTTCTTTATTGGAGTTGAATCATTTATCCCGACAGGACGTTTGGAACATTCGTCCGTTCTTGTTGAAAATAAACTTTATTTTTTTGGCGGTAAGAACAATGATAATAAGTGTTCAAACGAAGTATTCTATCTTGATGTATCGCAACCATTTATTTCGAAGACACCACCATGGATCGACCTCACGATAAATTCCGGAATACCAATAAAAAGTTGCTGGGGAACCGTTTCATCAAACGAAATGCAGAAAACAATATATTTATTTGGTGGATTCACGTATAATTTAATGAAAGACGAAGATTCTTTTGTATCAAACGTCTATTCTTTTAATTTATATTCCTCGTCATGGAACATACCTAACATTAAAGGAGTTTCACCCGAAAGACGTCAAGGCGTAAGTAGTGTCATAGATAATTCCGGAAACATGTACATCTTTGGAGGAATTTCTTTAGGTGCGAATGGAATGGCATCATTTAACGAAATGATTACCTTGAATACGGTTGAATTATCATGGTCAATTAATACCCCAGCAAACGCTCCTAGCAAACGTTTTAGTTATACAGCAACACTATTATCCAATGGTTTTATTGCGTATATTGGTGGTTGGGAATTTGGAGGGTCCCAAGCGGACATCAAACAGGTTTATCTCTATGACACGAATTCGCTAACCTGGTCCTTAAAAGTCTGTGTAACATCAAGCACAATCGATAATCGTGCTGGACATACGGCCATATTAAGTAATTATTATTTCTCGTTTTTTATTATTTTTTTATAAATTCTCAATTTTATTTTTTTTAAATAGCCCCAGAAGGTAAAATCATTATTCACGGAGGTTGTAAGAACATTGCAAACATATTCTACGCTCCAATTACAGAAATATTCGTTTTAAATATGGAAGCAGAACAATTTGAATTTAGTGTACCACCGATTGTATCAAATATTGGTCAAGTTCCTACGCTAACATTTCATACGTCTAATCTGGTTGGAAACTATATGATTGTAGCTTTTGGTAAGTTTCGGTGATGAATTTATTGAAATAACTCAAAATATTTAATTACTTTTTTTTATATTTATTTATGATAGGAAATATCACACAACCAAATTCCGAACCATTGCCATTAAGGAATCCCAATATTTATTTAATGGATATTAGAAATTTTACGTGGGTGAATTCATTTCAACCAACAAGAACGAATACAAAGGAACCAACAGGAAATGAAACAATAAAAACAACAAATATAACAGGAGCAAAATCAACAAAATTTCCAATTATCATTATAGTCTATTCAGTTACTGGAACTTTAGGTGCTGCGATGATTGTGGCATCCGTAATTTTTATTTACAGACGCACGCGCACACGTAATAATAATAATAAACTCAATAGTGTTGGTCATATAGTTCCTGAACAGGTATTTGATAATTCTGGTAAAATTGAAGATATAGAACAACATAATTTACCTGGTCTAGCCCTTCCATTATAATCTTCGAAACCTATTTATTATTTAAATGAATTTAACCCGTGTACGCTTTAATATAAAAATGAGAAAAGAGTAGAATAATAATAAGTAATACGTATCTAAGTTGTGCAAATTAATATTTGTGGAAATTTGTTGAAAAAAATTACTAATAATAATTTATTTTTAACTTTTATTTTATTTTATTTATTTTTTTTTTTTACGGTTCTCCTGTGTAATTTTTTCTTCTATAAGAATATCAAAGTTATTATTTAATACCGCAGCAACTAATCTCATCCAGCAGAAATAGAGATAAAATGAATGATACTTGCATTATTATCAGAAGTACTGCCATTGTTATAGCCCAAATTTGTGGTGATTTTTCAGGATAGACAATTATATAACATTTTAACGTCGTCCCGAACGTCGGAGGCGTCATTTTTGCAATTTTGAACATCTCGAACGTCGGAGGCGTCAATTTTTTTGCTATTTTGCAAGAAATTTGAACGTCCTGAACGTTGGAGACATCAAGTTATTTTTGCAATTTTGCAGTAAATTCAATAAATTGCAATTTGCAAATAAACCGCGGCCAAAATTGACAAAGTCATGTGACATTTGGCCGATTTGGCCGATTGGCGATTTGGCCGCGGCCAAATGCCAACTATGACTTAAGGTCACACGAAAACTTTAAAATTTGTAACTTTGGTAAGAGTATTGATTTTATTAAATATGTCAAAATTATATTTCACTTCATCTCCAATTCATTATAAATTCAAATAATTTATGTATAAATGAAGTTACATTATTGACAATGGGCCTAAAAAAAAAAAAAATTTAAAATACGAGCAATAATATTTATACTGTATATACAAGCTACTTAGGTTGAAATGGTCTAAGTTCTATTATTCCTTTAACCGTATGACTTATGAGCACAAATTACGTGTCAATTGTTATTATTACGCGTAAAAAGTTAATCCATAGAAAAAAGGAAATGAACCAAAAAATGTTTTTCTGTATTTTTATATATAAAAATCTAAGCGTCATGTGATCTGGTTAGTAGTGGCTTACCCATCTTTAAAATAAGCTTTGACAAATCTTTTTTTTTTTATTTATTTATTTATTTTTTTATTTATTTTAAAAAAAAAGCAAATTTATCCTCTAAAAAAACAAACTGTCTTAAATAAATACCGGTAACGATATGTGACACTATAAATTTCAATCATGGTATATCTGCAATAAATTATTTACCAAATTATTATTTTTTTTTTCTTATCTATTTCTTTTTAGTTCGTTTTTTCCTCACCATATCCTATATTGTCTTATTTATTAACATTACTTTACCATGAAACATTTCATCACATTAAACCAAGCAGTTCTCAGGAATACGGTAACTGTCAAGTTAAAAATTTTCCGGTTCATTGTGAATTTTTTTCTTAATCATTTTAAATTAAATTTGTGAAGATTGACGTGATTAAATTTGTAATCAATACAAAAAATATACTTTAAATTTAAATATAAAGATGAAAGTTACTTTACCTATTCTCCCAACCGACTTCCGAGGTTTAACCTGCGGAGGTTGATGATGGGTTTCTTGCTGGTGGTACTGCGGGGCGGTATAATGAATTCTTTACATTGTCTTCAAAAAGCAAAAATAATTGAATGCATATAACTAGTTCTTGTTCTCATGTTTTCTTAATTAATAAAGTTTTTTTAACATGACCTAATTGTTAACTTATTATGAAGTCAACCATGAGGGCTTCATTAAACCTCGACATTGATATCCTTGTAAAAGAAAAATATTTCATCACTTTGCAAACTTTTTCGATAAGATTAATCATGTACTGACGGTCCTTTGTTTTGCATGTTTATAAATCATGAAACTTTTATAAGTCGTTGTTTAACTGAACTGACCAATAAAGGTTTGTTTACAATTATTATCGTTATTTACGAAAATTTAATTACCATTTTTTAGAAATATTCAATTTCAGACCATATAAGGCGCTTGCTTCGAAAAAACCAAAATTTTGTTTATAAGTAAAATATTTTTATATTCATTAAATAAATCCAGTTTTTAAAATAAAAGTTAACACAAAAAAAATTATAAATTTTGTATATATCAAATTTTAAGATTTTTTTTTTTATGTTAAAATTTCGAGGAAACAAAAAATTTAAATGATTAATTAACGGGTGGCTTTGAAAATATACAATTTTAAAATAAAATTTTGAGTAGGAAGTAAAGATAACGAGGATAGCTTTACATCCAATACAATTGCGCCCGAAAGATGATTGTATCAAGTCCTTGTAGATCATTTTCGACCAGGCCGTTAATTATTACTTTTTTTTTTTTTGGAAATCCTTAAACAGCTCAACATACCACGGTCGCCTTTCATACATTGCATACATACATCTAAGGATGGTAACGGTCTGTTGTGGTCTGTCAACGGTCGGTCAAAGTCCTTTGACCAACCGACCGGTGTTAGACCTAGAATCGTCTCAAACCAAGCTAACAAAATCTAAAAAACTTAATATCACAATTATCTCAAAGGCCTTTCCTAAGAGAAATCAACGATTAACAAACAAAACAATTTATTATCACGATTCACTTTTGTAGTAGGTTATCACGATCAATCCTATGATGAAGAAAAGAAGAAGGTTGAAAGTGTAAAATAGTAACTTTATTAAACTGTATAAGTCTAGTCCCAAGACTTATTCAGAAAATTATCTGATCGAACTCTGTCGACTCAAAGTCAACTTTCAGGTCTATTTATATAAAATTGTTAATTATTACTATACTACGCTTTTTGATAAGTACACTCCCCGGTCAAAAGTATTGGACCACGTGATTTTCGTTATACTAATTGGCGTAATTTTTGCCGATTATAACT